TCAGAATTTAGCACACTGCTAAATTCTGTAGGCCTTGGTTTTCTCATCCATGAAATGGGGTTGTTAATAGTACCTGCCTCAGATGTTAATATATAGCAAATGCTTACAATAGCACCTGGTGAGTAGCCCATAAATGTTAGCAAGAATATTATTTAATATTTAGTAATATAGTTATAACGATACATTATATATTATAATAAAAAATTTAATCATAATAGTAATTATTATTTTAAAAAATGATGATGGCCCAGGCTGGTGTGGTTCAGTTGGTTCGGGGGTTCTCCCATGTTCCAAAACAGCAGTCACCAACCGGTGGGCCGTGGACCACTCGTGGTCTGTGAGATCCAACCACGATGCTGCTCCAAAGGGCTGCAGGCTCAATCCCTGTTGGGGGCATTCAGGAGGCAGATGATTGATGTTTTGCTCTCATATTGATGTTTCTCTCTGTCTCTCTCCCTCCCTTTCCCTATCTCTCTCTCTCTCAAAATCTATATTTTTCTTAAAAGAAAAAAAGGGGATGATGATGATGGTGCTCAGTGAAAAGGTACTGTCCTGGGAGGAGGAGAGTTCTGGATTCTTCCCCATCACACTGTGACCTTGGGCAAGTCAGATATGATCTCTCTGAGCCTCAGGCTTTTCTGTGGGATTTGGGGCTGGACTCTGATTTTCAAACTCATTTCCAGCTCTAATGTTATAAATTCCCCCAGGGGTGTAGCCACACCAGAACCCCCTTTCCTCCCTCACACAGCCGTCCTCCATCTAAGCTCTCAGCACACCTGGACCAGGTGCTCCAGTGCAGCGGGCTTTTCGGTTCCCATTTCAGCTGGTTTCAAGTCCTACACTTAGCCCTTCACAGGAATCAAGGTTTGGGGGTGGGGTGGGGGCAGGGCTGGGGCTGGGGCTGGGGCTGGACTAGGGCTGTACCTGGTGAGGCAGCTTCCCCACCAAAGAGGCACAGTGGAAAGCCTATCTGACAGGAGGGCCAGGAGAGCTGAGTACCACACTCTACTTAGTCATTGGCGTATTGGGCAAGTCATTAGACTCTTTGGGACCTCAGTCTTCTCATCTAACAACTGAAGTTCATATGTTGATTCTTTCAGTCATGTTCTCTCTTAATTTAGAATAACTTTCATTTCTTTCACATGAGTAAGAAGATCAGAAACATGAACTGACTTAGCTAAGCCCACACAGCTCATGATTTGAATCATCTTTTACCCAAGGCCTAGTCTCCTTTCATCTTTAGAGAAAAGATTGAAAGCCATAGTTTTATGATTGAGAAGCTGACTGCCCAGGTTCGAATCCTAATTATTAACTGTGTGACTTCAGACAAATTACTTACCCTCTCTGTGCCTTAGTTTTTCTTATCTGTGAGATGAGATATGATTATTATACCCCCACCTGGTTGTTATGAGGATAAAACGAATAAATGTTTGTAAAGCACTTTCAACAGTGCCTGCTATCTAGTAAGTTTATGTAGGTGTTTGCTAAATTAATAAAATAGCTCCCCTGCCAATTAAGGCATGATCTCAAGTATGTACAAAGCACTTTTTAAAAAATAAATCTTTAGCCGAGATCGGTTTGGCTCAATGGATAGAGCGTCGGCTTGGGGACTAAAAGGTCCCGGGTTCGATTCTGGTCAAGGACACGTACCTTGGTTGCGGGCATATCCCCAGTAGAGGGTGTGCAAGAGGCAGCTGATCAATGACTCTCTCTCATCAATGTTTCTAACTCTCTATCTCTCTCCCTTCCTCTCTGTACAAAAACCAATAAAATATATTTAAAAAAAATAAAATAAATCTTTATTTTTCAGATTATTACAATTATTCCTCTTCCCGCCCCCCCCCATAGTTCCCCTCTACCTCGTTCCCACCCCACTCTTTGCCCTTACCCACCCCATTGTCACTGTTCTCATCCATAGGTGTATGATTTTTGTCCAGTCTCTTCCCGCACCCTGCACACCCCCTTCTCCCTGAGAATTGTCAGTCCACTCCCTTTCTATGCCCCTGATTCTATTATATTCACCAGTTTATTCTGTTCATCAGATTTTTATTCACTTGTTTTTTAGATTCACTTATTGATAGATATGTTGTTCATAATTTTTATCTTTACCTTTTTCTTCTTCTTCCTCTTCTTAAAGAATACCTTTCAACGTTTCATATAATTCTGGTTTGGCAGTGATGAACTCCTTTAGCTTTTTCTTATCTGTGAAACTCTTTATCTGACCTTCAATTATGAATGATAGTTTTGCTGGGTAATCTTGTAGGTTCTTGCTTTTCATCACTTATTTCTTGCCACTCCCATCTGCCTGCATAGTTTCTGTTGAGAAATCAGCTGATAATCGTATGGGTGCTCCCTTGTAGGTAACTATTTTTTCTCTTGCTGCTTTTAATATTCTCTGTCTTTTGCTCTTGGCATTTTAATTATGATGTGTCTTGGTGTAGTCCTCTTTGGATTCCTTTTGTTTGGCGTTCTCTGCACTTCCTGGTTTTGTAAGTCTATTTCTTTCACCAGGTGGGGGGAGTTTTCTGTCATTATTTCTACAAAAAGGTTTTCAGTATCTTTTTTCTTCTATTTGTAGAATTTCCACTCAGCCAGCCTTCCTGTGGTTCTGGATGATGTCCTTTTTGTCTTTTAGTTGTAGTTTTTAAAATGCTGTGTGAGGCAGCAGTTTAGGTGTTTACGTATGCCACCATCTTGATTTCTTCTGATTGCACTTTTTTTTTTTTTTAAATATATATTTTTTATTGATTTCAGAGAGGAAGGGAGAGGGATAGAAACAGAAACATCAGTGATGAGAGAGAATCACTGATTGGCTGCCTCCTGCACCGCCCTTCCCCCCATTTCCCACTGGGGATTGAGCCCACAACCCAGGCATATGCCCTTGACCAGAACTGAAGTCAGCACAGTCTGCAGGCTGACACTCTATCCACAGAGTCAAACCAGGTAGGGCAGCACTTTGGATTAGGACCAGGAGACTTGTGTTCCACTTTGGGCTCACTACTGTTTTGCTCTGTGGCCTCAGAAGCCTCCTTTAAACTTTCTGTGCCTTTGCTTTCCTAGGCTGCAAGATATGGGCTTAGGCATGTTTATTGATGAGCACCATTTTTTTTTTTTTTAACAAAAATTGTCAGGAAAAAAGCATAACCTCTGAGATCTCAGGGCACTAGGTCACTATTTCCATTATTGAGCCTTGACATGTGCTTACATGTGAGCCCTTCGAAGCAGATTCGGATTTTTATATTAATATGACCTATCACAGTGCCTGGCACGTTGTAAGTACTCAACAATGCCGAGTGTAGTTAATATTTATGCTGTGAAAGCAGAGACTTTCGTCTGAATCCTCTGTAGCCTCTCCCTTCCTATGCTCCTCTCTTAGCCTCAGTATCCTCCTATTTAGAGTGGGGATCAGTGAGTGCGCCCAGGTCACAGGGTACATGTGGGTGGTGGGGTTGTAAAGATGAATGACGGAGGTAAAGCACGCAGCACAGTGCCAGTAAATGACAGCTACTGAGAATATGAAACCTGAGGTTGGTCACCTACGTCCCAGGAAGCGGCTCTGATCCAAGAGAAAATGCTTTTCTTAGAAGGGCTGCCCTGTTGGTACCTGGACTTGGTGAGGAGAGAGAATCTTCCTGACCTTTACAGACCCACTGCTTCTCCTCGGGGCCTTGTTCATAAATTTATCTAGGCCTAGCCAGCCCCTTCCTGCACTCAGCCCCCACCTCCCCCGCCACACACACACACACACACATACATATACACAGGCTGGCTTACTTCAATTTTAATTAAGTCACACACAATTCAGGGCATCAGGCCCCACCAACTTCATTAGAAACCATTTGGGATTGTGGGGAGACTGGAAAAGGGGGTGTTGAGAAAAACCCACTCTCTAGGGACTAAACCACCAGGAGTTACCCCAAGGAGCTGGGTGGAACAAAATGCCCAACGGAAGGGGTGAAAGGGAGCCAGAGGCCGGGGGGTGTGGTGAGAGGGCGATCCGGTTCTTTCCGCCGCACCCTTAGGGAAGAACGCCATGGTTCACTGACGCAGGGCAGAGGCTCAGAAGCAGGTTACAAGCCTTCCTGCAGGGATCCGGGGGGCCCAGCCCAGCTGAGGTGGAAGGTGCTGAGCTGAGTCACTGCTCCATCAGCCCCCTGGGGAGAAGCTCTGGGGGAGGCAGTTGGGAGAAGCAGAAGTGGCTCCGGGCTCCACTTCCTGAGCCAGGCGGCCGCACCGGCTGCGGGGAGACAGAGTGAGGCAATAAAACGGGTGTCAGGGGCGAGCGGGGTGCTAATGACTCTGTTTAACCTGTAAGAGATGTGTGGTTCTTCATGTTTAAGAGCTGGAAACATGGGGTGCAGATGGTGGGGAAAGGGCGCTTTTCCATGATGTGCCCCATTCCCAGGCCACTTCCCAGTGGTACAACTGATCCCTTCGCCCCTTCCACAGGGCCTGGTGGCTTCTCTGCAGAGAAGAGGGGACACTGGTCCCTTTCCTTCCTCAGCCCAACCGGAGCTGGGTTTGTGGGGCGAAAGCTGTGCTGCCTGCCCTGGGACCCTGGGATGTGAGGTTTCCCAAACCCCTTAGCTGCCTTGTGGTGGCATCAGACACGTCTCCCTGAGTACAAGTGAAGGCCAGGTGGCTTCGCCATATGTTCCTTCAAGCTTGTGGGCTGTCCTCAACCCCGAAGGTCCTGTGGAGGTAGAAAGCCCTGGGATGGGGCAGGAAGGGGTGGGCCACTTGCCTACTCCCCAAGGGCCAAGGTGCTCGCTCTTCCCACGGGGGTCCTTCCCCCAAATGGGAAAGGAGGTTGAGAGAGGATTGGTGACTTTCCGACATTACTTGAAAACTCTGTTCCGTTTTGACCACCAGGTTCCGATCCGTCTGCAAACACCCCTCCAGGACTCCCTCGCTGGGTCAGAGAGGCCTCCGCTGCATCCATGGGCTTCCTCCCTGGGGGCGCTCTCCTGGGCGGGCCATCCCGAGGTCCCTGCCAGAGGTCACACCCCCAGGCTGTTCTTCTCCTCGACCTTGGGGCTGGGCTCCTCCTGCACCTTCTTCATCTCCCAGCCCCTGACCCAGGTGTAGGCGGACGAGCCCCCCAGCACCATCATGTTGCTCGTCCACCAGAGGAAGCTCTTGGTATCCTCGTAGTAGAGGACGGCCAGCACCGTCTGGGCACAGGCCTTGGCCGTGCCCGACACGTTGTGGGTCAGGGGGCTGGTGAACTTGATCTGCAGTCCCGTCACGTAGCCAATGGCAAAGCCGAACAGGCCTCCCAGCGTCATCATGCCCCAGAAATGGGCGCTGCCCAACTGGGCGAAGTGGAGGAGGGCCTGGAGCTCCCCCAGCAGCAGGAGCAGCGGCAGGAACAGCACGCAGGCGTTGATGTTGTTGTAGAAGGTCAGGCGCCAGATGCTGTCATCCACCGCCGGGAGCACCTTCTTGGTGTAGATGGCGTTGAGCGAGACACACAGGCTGGCTAGCACGCCAAAGAGGGTGCCCGTCCAAGACAGGGTGCCCTCTGCCCCCTCCTGGTCCACACCAAGCCAGAAGCCACCTGCAGTGGGAACAGGAGAAGGGGAGTGGGTGAGGACAGGAGGGAGAAGGACAGAGAAGTTTTCCCCTAAAGTTCACAAACTGTAATGCTGCCTCACCACCCCTCCCAATTGGCCCTGCAACAAATATGACGGAAGTCTCCATTCCATGCAAAGCACAATACAAGGGCTGGGAAGTGGGCCAGGACAGGAGCCTTCCTCACGGAGCATGCGGACATGCGTTCCAGCAAAGGAGAAAAGCGTAGAAACAATTCATTGCATAACAGTTGTAATGAGGCCCATAAAAGAGTTCAGGTGCTGTGAGAACCCATTACTGGGTGACTGTGTTGGCCTGGGGCCTCTGGAAACTAGAACTGAGTTCTGAAGGATGAGTATTTACTGGTTACAATGGCTGTGGGTGAGTGGTTTAAGGTCTCAGAGGCTGGGCTTCCTGGTGTGGAAGATGCAAGCCTGAGTCTTTTTCTGATACGCCCAGTCCCAAGACCTCTTCCTGCCTGCTCTTCCCTTCTACATCTCTGGCCTGCCATGGGTTGCTGGGCACCTGCCCCCGGGGACAGTACCTTGAGCCAGACCCCACTTTCCCAGCAAGCAGGACTGACTCTTACATGGGGTATACCCCATTACAGCATCTGGCAACATGGGGCAGGAGGAAAGTTTTGGTGTCAGATTGGGGCTTTGCCATCTCAAGGCTGGGCGGCCTGGGAAAAGTTTGCTTAACTGCTCTGAGCTCCCATTTCCTTCAGCTGCAGAGATCTGGTCACTGTCTTTTCTTAAAAAAAAAATTTTTTTTTTTTTTTAAAAATTGATTTCGGAGAGGGAGAGATAGAAACATCAACCATGAGACTCATTGATTGGCTGCTTCCTGCACGCCCCCTACTAGAGATCAAGCCTGCAACTCAGGCATATGCCCTGACCTGGAATTGAATGGTGACCTCTTGGTTCATAGGTCAACCCTCAACCACTGAGCCTCGCTGGCCGGGCTGGTCCCTGTATTGACACTCCTCTCCAACCCATCTACTCTCCACCTTGCAACCAGAATGACAAGGTCCTTCCTCGCATACAGATCTGCTCAGGTCCTGTCCTGGCTTAAAGCTCCTCCCAGCCTCCCACTGCCCTCAGCAAATACTCCAGGTTCACTTCACTTGGGAAGCCTCACAGGCGGGGAGTCTTGCCTAGGCCCAGCCATGAAGAAGGGCACGTGCCCTTCCTTCTGCCTGAACAGTCTTTCCTCACCCCTTCCTGACACCATCTAGCATTTCCTCCAGAAGCCCTGCTTAGCTGACCCTTCCCAACTACCTCTCCCTCCCCACCCAGCCAGGATCCCCACAGCACCTTCTACAATATGTCCCCATCACAGCTCTTGCCACTCAGTCTTAGCTCATGTACTGTCATGCATCATCACTGTGACCTCCAGGGGTGTAGAAGCTGAGTCTGCCTTCCCCAAATATGTATCCCCAAGCTTGGCACAGTCCCCAGCATGTGCCTGCTCTCAATTAATACTTGTTGAGTGACTGAATAGAGGTTGTTCTGGAGGCGCTTGTCAGGATTGAAGAAGACGAGTCACCTGCTACACTATAGGAACTCACTCCCAGCATTCTCTTTCTTGGTAGAGCCTTTGTGAACAGGTTACCCACAGACCTGCTCTGGGGATGGAGTGGGTGAGCTTATTCAGAGAGGTCCAGAAGGGACTGCCACCTCAAGGTCCCAGACCAGGAGGTATTCTCAGCTAGAGAGTTTTGAAAGGCAGTGCGACCTGGGGGCAAAAGGGGCAGGGAGGAGGAGGAGGAGGAGGAGGCCTAGAGTAGGTGCCTTTGACTCATCTTCCTCCACAAGGAGGAAGGAAGGGGAACCACTGCAGAGAGGGAATAGGTCCTAGGCAACAGAGAGCACCGGCCTCCCAGTGCTGACCAGTGACTGCACCTTCTCAGAAGCAATCTCACCATCAGCTACTTGAATTACTTTTCGGATTTGGGCCCAGTTTCCCTAGTGACATCACCTTCCTCCACGCAAATTCTCCCACCAAGAGCATCCCCCACCTACCAACACACACACACACACACACACACACACACACACACACACACGCACACACACACACACGGTCTCTGAGATTGAGGTGGAGATCCCTCAGACAGAGGGGAAGTGTGGGAGAAAGTGAGGCCTCTCGTGGGAGGGGAAGGTGGCATGGGATGGGCCCCCCCTCCTTTCCCCTGGCAACCAGTCTACTTTGGCCTTGGGCTCTGAGACACCAGTGAAGAATATGTAGGTCAACGAAGACAAACTTTCCAGCACCAGAAAAAAACCTGAATAGGCTTAAGGAAGGATCGCATTCCTGGATGACAGAGGCCCAGGAACAGCGGGGGCTGCTGGGGGTGCTCTTACCCAGTGTGCTGCGATAAAACAACATGTGGTCTATAATATGTGCTGTCCAATACAGTCGCCACTGGCCACATGTGGCTACTGAATCAGGTTAAACATCTATAACTGAGGAATTTTCAAAATTTCATTTAATTTGAATTACAGTAAGTCTTCACTTAATGTCATCCACAGATTCTGCTCCTAAAACAATATACATTAATATACTAGAGGCCTGGTTCACGAAATTCGTGCATGGGGGGGATCCCCTCAGTCCAGCCTGCACCCTTTCCAATCCGGGACCTCTTGGGGGATGTCCGACTGCTGGTTTAGGCCCCATCCCCAGACAGTCGGACATCCCTCTCACAATCTGGGACCACAGGCTCCTAACTGCTCACCTGCCTGCTCACCCGATTGCTCCTTATTGCCCACTCCCTGCTGGCCTGGTTGCCCCTTAGTGCCACCCCTGCCATCCTGGTTGCCCCTAAATGCCCCCCACCAGCCTGGTTACCCTGAACTGCCCCCCTGCGGACCTGGTCACCCCACGCAGCCTGCTGTTTGGTCATTTGGTCACCCCTCATAACCCCCCTGCCAGCATGGTTGCCCCACAAAGCCTGCTGCTCAGTTGGTAGGTTGTCCCTCACTGCCCGCCCCCCGCCGCCCTATGGGCCTGGTTGTCCTCCATAGCCTGCTGTACGGTCCTTTGGTCATAACTCACTAACCTCCCTGCCAGCCTGGTTGCCCCACAAAGCCTGTTGCTCAGTCGCTTAGTTGCCCCTCACTGCCCCCCCCCCCCCCCCCCGTGGGCCTGGTCACCCCACATAGCCTGCAGTTTGGTCCTTTGGTTGTCCCTTACTCAACCTCCCTGCCAGCCTGGTCACTTCATGCAGCCTGCAGTCCTTTGGTCGTAACTCACTAACCCCCCTGCCACTCACCGATGATGATGCCGCAGGTGAGCAGGGCGTAGAAGGACGTGGTCTGCTTGAGCAGGAGGTAGGAGAGCAGCACGTTGAAGACAGTGGTGAGGGAGCGGCCCACGTTGTAGAAGGCCACCCCCACGTACTTCAGGCAGAGGTTGTTGAAGGTGATCATGCAGATGAAGACCACGGACAGGGGCAGGACGCTGCGGGCCACCCTGAGGTCCAGGCGCAGGGCCGGGAACTCCATGGCCCCGGGGCAGCAGGCGGACAGGGTGCTGAGGCCCTTGCACAGCAGGGTGGTCACCAGGCACTGGTAGAAGGTGACGAAGATGGGGGTGTCCAGCTGCAGGGAGGGGCTGTCCAGTAGGTACTTGTTGAGAAACACCATGGAGATGGAGATGACCCAGTAGAGGAAGACCACCAGGGCGATCTGTAGGGCCCGGAGCAGGAAGGGCTTCCCCTGGCTGGCCTCTGCCTCACCGGAGAGGTCGGAAGTCCCCATCAGGGCCATGTGCAGGATCCTGGAGCGCTTCAGAGGGGCCCTGTTCATGGTGGCAGAGGAGCTGGGTCACAGCATGGCCAGAACTGGTCTCCCGGAGAATTGGGAGGGGAGGCCCTCAACTGTCACCTGGGGGAGGGCGCAGAGGCCTCCTCCCGCTGCCCTCTAGGATGGGGAGGTTGGGCTTTGGGGTGAGCCTCACAACCAGCTCCCACGCTGAGGGGCCTCATGACACAGGGCGCAGGGAAGGGGTGGTGGACAGGCGGAGGACATAGCAGGGGAGAAGGGGCCCTGGGGAAGAAGGGAGGGGAGAGGAAGGGAAGGAAAAGGGGGAGTAGGAATGAGGGCCAAGGAGCTGGAGGGCTGCGTGGGGAGAGTGCAGAGAGGAACGCGTGGGCTGCAGAGGAAGAGAGGGGGTGGCAGGGAGGTGGGAGGCCTGCAGGGAGCTGAATGGAGGGAGGACGTGCGTGAGGCTGGGTGGGGGTTCTGGAAACAGGGGTCCAGGGGTGATCGGAAAGGCTCGGGGCGGGGTCCGAGGGATGCGGGAGGAGGCCGGACAGTGTCAGCCCACAGCCCGGGGTTTTCCCGGGGCGGTGCGGGTTCCGGCTCAGCCCCGGAGCCGGGACTCACTTCCGCCTCCTCCTTAAAGAGCCCGCACCCCAGCAGCCTCTTAAAGCCACAGTACCCAGACAGTCAGAGTCTGGCTCGCGTCGGGGGGCCCGACCGCCACCCAGCTCTCGGCAGCCTCTGAAGGTTCTCCTGGGTGTTTTAGCCTCGCCCTCTTCCTGCAAACCCCGTTGGCTCCGACCCCTCCTAAGGCTAACACCCCAACTCAGCTGGTCGCCCCAAATCCCCGTGCAGGCTGCGCTCCCTCCTCCCCGGCCCTGGCACCCCTCGCTTCCCTCCACGTCTAGGGACACCCACGCCCCGCTGGCCCTGGCCCTGGGTCGGTTACTTAGTCTCAGCTCACTCTTGCCAAACATCTGTGCAGTTCCCTCCTTCCCCCCACTTTTCTCCTCCCCAACCCTCTCCCAAACCCTCGATTCCCTGCAGCGCTCCCAGACCCCGGATGCCATGACGCCCCCATTATAGGACCTCAATCTGTCATCGGGTCCCCCCATTCCAGACCTGTGGGTGGCCGGATCCGAGCCTCAAAGCTTCACCCTCTCCCCTGATTCCTTACCCCTTCCTTGCAAAATCCTCCTCCCGATGCGGCCGCCGGGCTCAGCCTGCAAGCTCCAGCCCCAGGGCTGGTGTTCTCAGGTCCCCAAAGCGACCCCGCACTCACCTGGCTCTCCGCGCTCCCTGCCGGCCCGAGCCCCCCGCAGCACAGCACCAGCACCTGCCGAGGCGCACCCAGGCCCTGACAGCCAAGGACAACTTCCTGTTCCCTGCCCCGGGCGCGGGCGGTGCCCAGCCGCGCCCTAGGGTGGCGGAGGGGCCCCGGGCCAATCCAGCTGGTAGTGGGAGCAAGTACCTATCCAATAATAGGTACTTGCTCTTCCCAAGGCCATCCCAGCCCCAGGTATCTCGCCCCAGCCAGTGGCCCAGAACCCCCAGTCCAGTTACCGCAGCTGGCAGATCCCAGCATCCGGCTGCATCCTTTGCCCCTCACTCACCGGCCTGGGGTTAAGGCTTGGATTCTCTTGCCCGCAGCGCATGGAGGGTTCTCCGTCCCCTCCCAAGACTGAGCCTGGGAAGTGGTCCCTAGCCCCGGACACTCACACTTCAGACAGGCGCACGGGCTGACTTCTCCCTGGTTCCCGCTCAAGCACCAACGTTGGGCGTTGGGCAGCTCACTTCTGAGTCTCCTTATTATACACCGTTGGGTTGGACTCTACCAGTGGGTCTCAGACTCCTTACTCAAAATTCTAGCTAGTACGGTTGAAAGTAAGGAGTGTATTTCAAACACCATTGAATTGGTACCATTCCATTTACTGGCCAGGTATCCGGCATTTGCTTTAAAATAGTCAGATTGGTCAACAGAGAGAAAAGAAAATTGTGGATGGCAGAGACCGGTTTGGCTCAATGGATAGAGCATCAGCTTGGGGACTGAAGGGTCCCGGGTTCGATTCCAGACAGGGGCATGTACCTTGGCTGCGGGCATATCCCCAGTAGGGGGTGTGCAAGAGGCAGCTGATCGATGACTCTCTCTCTTCGATGTTTCTAACTATCTCTCTCCCTTCCTCTCTGTACAAAATCAATAAAAAAAATATATTAAAAAATAAAAATAAAAAAATAAGGGAAGCCCTAAAAAAAAAAAAAAAAAAAAAAAAAAAAAGAAAGAAAGAAAGAAAGAAAGAAAGAAAGAAAGAAAGAAAATGGTGGATGAAACAAGATAGGCAAAGTGTTGATAATTGTTGGATAAGTACCTAATAAAAGGTAAAGCTTGTGAACTATATTTGAAGATTCACATGCTAAGTACATACATGCTCACCTGAGCTTAACACAGCCCTAGTGGGCTATAGGGACCTGGGAGGGGTTATGGGAAACAAGCTCCATCCAGCAGCCCCCCAGGCAGGGGCAAACGCCCCAGCAGAGCTCTGCCCTAGGCCCCACGCTCTCTCACTAGCCCTCTGGTCCTCACTCTGTGATACCCACACTCCAGGGACTTCCCGCTTCCTAGTTATGGGCCGGTGGAGGCTGCCTTCTGGTCGGTCACCTTATCACCTTTGAGGAAGGAAAGACTTAAGTGGACTGAGCTGGTCATCTGAACCTTACTTGGATGGTCTTGTTCCGGGGCCAAACTTGGAAGGTTGTGGGTTTCATTAAGAACAATACGTGCTCCGGTCTTTCCTCTCGTAGGTCTGGTTGTTCATCCGACAAATAATTGAATGACAAACAGGGAAACTTGTCTCTGAGAAGTTCCACTTTTCTGGAAGGGCCCCTCTCCTTGTCATAATAACAGGAATGAATGTATCAGAGGAATGTGCTGCCACCTTGAGCCCCTTACTTTTTCTCTCTTTGAAATGGAATCTGGAGCAGAACAACACCACCTAAGTTTGTTACAGCTGATTCCTGGTTGCGGAAATGCCCAAAACCCATTCGCCATTTCCTGCCTCTGAGACCCCTGGGGCTGCCCTGCTTGCTATTACACCCCCCACCTGTTCTTCAGCTTTCCCCCAGTTCTCTGAGCAACCCTGGACTCTTCCAATGATTTTCTTTCTGTATAAGTTGCCTGGAGTCTGTATTTTTTGCTTGAATCAGAGAACCCTAGATGTTACTGTGAATATTTCTCTCTGTCCAAGAAAAAGGGTCAGGGCAGCAATTAGTCAGTTCCAGAGAGTGAGTCCAGCCACTACACCTGCACTCCTCCCCAAGCGCTGGGATTCCAAAGAACAGGGCGGGAGAAATGGACTGGGCTGGGTAGCAGATATGCAAATACTGGTGTGTTTGCAGAAGGGCTGCCATCTGGTGGATGTGGGTCAAGGTTGGCTTCCTTCTTTGGGGCATTGCTGTAAACCTGGCAGAGGTGGTGTGAATCCCTGGGAATTTAAAATTGGTTTAATTTAACAAACATCTTCTGAATGCTCTTTATGTTTGACCTTTCCTGTGCTCCTTTCCCTCTACTGGGCTCACTATTCAGTTCAGATGATTCATAGGACACCTTACACTGGCATATTGATGGCCTTTTTGCCATTAGTGGGTTTTGAATGGTCTGAAATGAACACAAAGAACCCAAGTTTGACATATAGGTTATCTGAGTGAATGACTGAATACAGAAATGAATTGAGTTAATTACAATTCTGGAGCCACAAAATCCATAATAAGAAATCCCTTTGCTAAGTTTATGCTTTTTTCTGTCCCTTGTAGTATAGCATAGCAATTAAAACTTTACCCTCTAGAGTCAGCTAAGTTCAAGTCCTGGGTCCACCACTTTTCAATTTTTGTGGCTGTGGCCGATCACCTAACTTCTCTGGAACATAACAGAGAATGGTGATAATATGTTAGTATAGTGCCTGTCCCATATTTGTATTCCTTGTTTAATTTAAATTTTTTTTTTTTTTTTTGCTCTGCTCTTTCAATGATTCCCACATCTCCTCTTGTCACTGGGCACATTTATCATCATTGCACTAACTATATCAGTTAGCTATTGCCATGTAACAAACTCTTCAAAATTTAGATTACAAGTATGTGGCTCAATTAGGCAGTTCAGCTGATCTTGGCTGGGCTTTCTCACATGTTTTGTGGTCTCTCATATAGATTAGTTAGGATGGCTTCAGCTGGGATAACTAAGCTCTCCTCCATAAGGTCTCTTATCTTTCAACTGGAGGCCCAGTGCATGATTAAATCATGTGTGTGTAGGGTCCCCTACACCTAACCTGTCTTCGGAGCCAGGTCCTCTGACCCACGAAGCCTCACACACTCTGTGGACACTGCCGGCACCCTGCGACGCTCCAGAAGTCCTGGTGCTGTGGCCGCTATGGGAACCCGAAGTCCTGCCCACTGTAGGACCCATCAATGCACCCCCAGTAGTTGATTGTGACACTGTCATGGTGTCACGAACACAGGCCTTTTATGATATAGAGGACCGTTGCATGAAAATTCATGCAATAGGCCTTCCTTCCCCTGGCTGCGGGCACTGGTTTTCCTCCGGCACCTGGGACCTGGGTTACAGTGGAACCAAGCCTTCAGCCTTCAGCCTTCAGGCTTGGCTCTGGCTGCAGCAGAGCCTTCAGTCTTCAGTCTTCAGATTTTGCGCAGTGCCTGCTTATGCAAATTAACCCAACATTTTGTTGGGCTAATTTGCATACTTACTCCTGATTGGCTGGTGGGTGTTGTGGAGGTACAGTCCATTTGCTTCTTTCTCTTTTATTAGTGTAGATAGTCCAACCTGGGCTTGTTCTTATGGAACAAGGGCAGAAGTCTGAAAGAGCCAAACTGGCCAGGGCATGTTTGACTTTTTAAGGGACTGACAATTTGCTTCCCAACTTGTTTGTACCCACCAGAGATGCCCGAGAGTTCCCGCTGTAACTCTGATGTAAGTTCTGCATCCTTACAAGTACTTGGTATTGTCACTTTAAAAATGTTTATTCACTCTAATAAATGTG